AGCTTAGCACTGATACAGTGAAATGAAGCTACGGCGATCTCGATACCCCGTTAATTAGCGCAATATGTAGAATCCGCCCTTCAGCCCATTTGCATAATACACTCTTAGACCAGTATATATGTCCATAAGGCAATTGCATAGCGAAGACTTATAGGCCGCATTAGAAAGTTCGGAGACTAGCCTTTCGTGTTCATCTAAAGTATCCAATTTTGTGGTTGCACTTATTCAAATAAAGGAGTTATCTTTAGCTGGCGCAATTATCTATTTCTCTCATACATTATGAATAAATTCGATAATATGAGGACAGTAAAGGTGGGCAGTATTTGACGTGCACATCAAAAGGCCTCACAATGAATGAATTAAACATACAAAAAACTCACATAGGCCCTATTTAGCACGATGTAGGTGTAGTTAATCAAAATTTAATTCATAGAAAGTAAAATTTTATGCAATTAAGAATCAGAAAACCGAACTATCTAACTCATCATCCAAGAATTTGAAACTCCATCGCCGAGGACAACGTGTGGGATCGAAAACCCGGTGTGCCGCAGGCTATAAATTAATTTGCGATTAAGGTTTGTGAACGTGGTTAACGTTTCCAATTGAAATTAATTTGGTCGAGGTAGCGTAATCTTCATTCCAAGTAAAAAATGCCATTTGTCAAATTTAAAAGGTTTTTAATGCAAGGCGGATTTCCTTTTCTGTCAAAGCTTGTAGGCCGTACAGTTTACGCTGCCGGAAGTTATCTTCGATCGGCAAGGGTTCTCAATACCTCGGTTGAAAGCAGGGATAGTTTTCTGCTCATTTTCTGCAAATGATAATTTCAACGAGTTCAGGTCGCCGCATGCGTTCAGCTGCCAGGCGTGTAATTTTGTATATACCCACTCCCATGAGAAATCATACACGACTATTATCACAGCCATTATATAACTATTTCATATTAGGTTGAACGTTTAGTACATTTAACTGCTTCAGCGGACTGTTATATGATTTTAAGCAGACGTTGACAGTAGTAAGAAGTTTTTTGGGTGTTTCCGCCTATTCATTATTTATGCATATTTATATTGCTTCTACCATTACTACTAGTCAGCACATATTCCTTTGGCAATAAATATAAACACAAGTGCACACTAACCTAATGGTTTATATTTGAAATGTACTTTATGCAAACTTCGATAAACACCTTCAGAATGCTAAAACGTCTTCAAGGCGGTTTTTTAAGGAAGCAGAACCCATGTTTTCGTGGGTTTTAGGCAACAGCTTTCAGTGCAAAGGAAAAGCAGTAATAAATACCCCAAATGGTGGAATGTGCCAGACTAATATTTATTTACGATAACAATACCCCTACTTATAATAACTTGGTCCATTTTATACGTGCTTTTCGCGTGCACAGCACTCGTTAAAATATGCCTATATGAACATCTTTTGACGGTATTCTCCTTCAGAATTATGGTCCCCATGACTGAGAATGTAAAGTCGTATATCATTGCAAAACTCCGGGAGAGATAACCGGTTAATACGTGATCAGTGAAACTTATAGAGTTGACATGGTTAGTGAGTTAGAATTCAGATCAAAAGGTCGCGGCTTCGGGCATCAGGGGGAGGGGGCTTCACTTGGCATTAGGTTTGACTGGACCAGTCTCCCCTGTCTTTGCCGGCGGTGCTAAGACCACTAGCCACTAAGCGGCTGTTATCGAGAATGACCGAAAGGCCGAGTGGGGTGATTGTATTTAGTTAGCCATCAGTGAACGGTTATCAACGACAGGTGATATTTTGCGTACATAATTATCTAGAGTCTATAGGTTACAATAAATCCTTTTAGTCAGAATACAACGCACCATTTCAGTATAAGCGACTCATGTGAAGTCGAATTGTTTACTGTTTTCTGATATGTAGATTGGTAACTTATATATGAACTATTTACAATATGCGGATCATACTTTTATATGAAGTGCTTCTTCTGGACAGAATGCTTTTTTGCTGGGTGTGCGGGGATTAGTATACAGTTAGCTGCTATTCTAGGCATAGCAATATCTAACACCTGAAACTTTTTGCACTTTCGGTCGCCGTTTGGTGGGTTTCTGCAGCGGACCTAATTTTTTTATAATAAGCACCATATTCAAATGAACTGAAGGCCAAAGCCTATCCTTGTGGGTAAGAATATTCTTCGCCTAAATGTAGGTGATAAGGTGTCATTTTTTTTAATAAAAATCATTGTTTATTCTACTTTCGCTACTCACTAATACATACTTCAAAATACCTTATTAGTCTGCAACCGCAATAAGGACAAGAACTGCAACTAACGTGCAAGAATACATATTTTCGAACAGGTTAAAGGTTACAGGATAGGGCATAAGTTATATGATCATATTATAATTAATCAAATCCACAGTACGAATACATAAGTTGCATAGCGTAATGGCGGGTAAGGATACTATATAAATATCACCAAAGAATCACATTAACCTAAAAATATGTAACATGCAAACAGTAATAAAGCAGAAAATATATATTTTGCATGTACCGATAGTAAAAAAACATTTGGTATACTGTGAACGATTTGTTACAAATGTTGAAAACAACGTTAAATTAAACATCTACAGTCTAGATATGCAAATACTTAGATAAAACGGAAGCATGGTATTACTAAAGAAACCCTTAAGTAGTTGCTAAGGTTAATTTCCCTTTAAATGTGTTTTTTTTTCATAGAAATTCGATCTCTACATGCGAAAAGAGAAGCTTTCATTTCATTACCGGTCCTATAAAACCTAAATTTATGCTAAGGCTTACTTGGGATACCTAGAAAATATCCTTACGTACAGGGCGCATAAAGTGGACAGCATTCCAACACGTAAGTACAGTCAAATGGAAGCGCTCGGTTCAGTGAGCAAATAAAAAGTTTGTCAGTAGGAGAAGTATCTAGACAAGCTGCGCACGAATATGTTTTTTGATTGTTATGATAAGAATTAAATCAAAATGTGAAAAAGGAATGCTTGGATAGAAGTGCTTAAAAAAATGATCGCTTTTTCTTATAACAGCATTATAAATGCCGTCAAGAATACAGCTGTTTATGGCATACCTGCATAGTGATTTTCGATCATCATTTTTTGGATGAGCCCTAAAAAGTCCTCATTCTAATTCATTAAATCACAATGAGGTGAGATCATTATGTTTAATTTCCTGATTATGGACAATTTTGTCGAATATGACCGCAAGTGCCCACGATCATGTCTTGTTTGCTATTTTTAGGTAATAATAGTTACATCGCGAAGCCTTGGTTTTGTACGCTGCGACATATCATCCACAGGTTATGAACTTTGCTGCTGCCGAAAGCAGTTTTGCACCGGGGCTTTCATTTTTCTCCTTCTTAGAGTAATACAACTGGAACACTATACACATTCGCTGAAAATTTCAGTTTAATGCACTATTTTCGCGATTTGTTTACCAATGTGGTCTTACGCCTTCTCTATCACTTACCTGCTGGGCACATGACCTCTAAGTAGTGCAAAAATAAGAAAGTCACGGTTTTCCCACTCTGACCCCTTTACCCTCGCTTTACTGATATTTATCTCAGGTCACTGAATGTAGGAGGTACAAAGGTGTGTTAAACTTCAGGTCAAATGTTCATTTTCCAGGAATTGGAGTGATTAATGGTTCGACAATTTCGAGATGCTTTGACATAAAGATTTTTTATTTCTTTCATCATAAAACTAAGCTAATAACTACTAC